ACGAGAATACAAAAAAGAATTGTGACAGAATTAGCTGTAATAATACCAAAAACAGCAGCAAGTAGATTTTCAGGAGTCTGAGGTAGGTCAGCTTGACTCAATTGTTGTTGAGCTTGGTATGTTGTGGCCTTCACTTGCTCCCATGTGATTGGCGAAGGTTGTTACTCAGGATTAGGAGCAAGACAACACTTTACTAGCGGTCTTATCAGTGGTTCTATTGCATGAAAATGAACATTAACAGCAACATCTGAAAAAGAATTACAAGAGTTAAATAATTTCAAGTAAATAAGGCAACAGATAATAAATGTTCTCCATTTCCCATTTTTCTTTTTAATAAAAAAAAACAGGAGTATGACTGCGTATATGCTCCACATATAAGGGATATTGTTGATTCTCCAAATGATGCTTAAGAGACAAAAACAAAGCTAGCAAATTTATATCTAATGACAATGCACAATAAGAAAATGGCAAAGATTGCATAACTAAATAGACATATTGTGTATCAACCACAAGATTAATTCATTGTGTAGGGAAAAGTTGTAAAGCTAATATAACAGCTGCAAGTTCAGCCCGCTGGGTGGAAGTTTGAATTGATGTGAATTTTGAATGCCATTGGGAGTCAGCATGCCAGACCACCACCCCTCTTTTTGGTGAACCATCTGTAAAAATTGTCAGAGCATCAATAAAAGAAGTACGTACAAAAATATTAGAAAAAGATGGGTTTAGAGTAATAGTAACCACAATTCTAGGATCTTTTGGTAATGAATATAAAACTTCTCCAAGATAATTGGAGAAGGCAATCTGATAACTTTCAGATATCATCATAAGATGAACATGCTCAATCTTTGTACGTGTGAATGCAATGCCTATCAAATCCTGTCCAATCAGTTGCAAAGCACGCTTTCGGCCTTATAATCAATTCTTCTAAGGCAGATTGGTAAGGATAAATGTTTCTAGGTGGAATAGCAGATACATTTAACCACTCATGAATAGCTATTTTTAATGTGCTCTTAATGGTATATAAACACCCAGTAGGCAATGGAGAAGTAGGAAGAATAGCTAAGCGCAGTCCTGCTTCTATTGACTCAATTCGGTCAACATATTGTTGCTTAACTTTGTCCAAGATGAGCTGTAAGCACCTTTTTTGATCATTCAGCAAATGAACTGTATCACCAGGGGATTGCGCTCCTTTTAAGGGTTAGAATAGAGGTAACAAATCACCAGTTATGCAGAAGAAAGGCCTAGCCCAGTTAATAATGCCTAGCAACTTTTGCCATTGAACTAAAGTATAAGACTTTTGTACCTTTAAGCCAGGCAATACTGGAATGGAAGAAGCTTTCAGTAACCTATGACCCAAGTATAGGTAAGGTTCAGTTTTCTGAATTTTATCATCTGCAATAAACAACCCCTTCTGTGCTACAGTAGTTTTTAATTCCTTCAGAAGGGCTATAGAATCAAACTGAGGAGCAGCTATTAAGATATCATCCATGTAATGATAAACCAAGTAAGATGGAAATTTCTCACGAAATGACTGCAGTGCATTGTCCACAAAATACTGGACAAAGTAGGAGAATTAAGCATGCCCTGTGGTAAAACACGCCAATGATATCGTTTAGTTGGCATGCTATTATTAAAAACACCACACGGGGGCAGCAGAGAGCCATTTAAGGGGAAAAGCCATCATCCAAAATCAATTTTGTATTTAAAAAAGAAAGGAGGTCCTGACCCCAAATATTAGTATGAATAACAAAGGGCGAAAGGAAGTAATAGAGAGGATTAAGCAATAGAGGATTGATCAGAAAGAGTTTGAGGAAGGTTCACCCAAGCCTGAATTAAAAGAGTTCCAATGTAATCAGAATCAATAACACCAGGGACACAAAGCACCCCTTTTTATGAGAAGGTAGCTGGAGGAAGCACAGTTTGGGCAGGAATTGAAGCAAATTTTTCTTTATCCTGTGGTTGAAATGGAATAGTAAAGAAACAATCTTTTAAATCAACTGTCAACAATTGATAAAAATTAGGAATTAAATTAGGATTAGGAAGACCACATTGCAAAGGACCCACTAAACTAGAGGGAAGAGGGCCTTTAAATTGAGAAGGAATCAATTTAACTTCCAAGGGAAATTTAAATTCCACAGATTCCTGAGTTATTAAATCAAGTCCAGCATTACCTGCTGTGGCTGGAACTGCGGAAGAGAGACTAGGGGAGGAGACATGGCTACGGGGAAGGCACTCTTTTGTCCCCTCTACCAAGGCTCTCACAAAATTACCACTAATACCATAATCAGTGACAGCCTTTTCTCTTAAAATTTGATAAGGCAGTCCTTCCCATTCTGCAATCTGCTGTCCTGCCAATTGACCCTGGCCCTGATGATATTGTACTGGACATACAGACAACAATTCTGCAAGTTCTTCCCCAGGCATGGAGGAATCCTGTTTACAGGATTTCACCATCTTCTGAAAAGAAGACTGAACAGCAGAGTCAGAAGGTTTAGTAATCTGACCTATGTCAGTAAGAGCTGAAAGAGGCAGAATCACATATTCTGGAGAGGAAGGAGGACAGACAACAGCATTGTAATAACTTGGAGGTGAAGGAGTTAAAAGAGACAGTTCAGCAATTCCAAATTTTTCCACTGCATATCTACATAAATCCCACACCTGCAAAATCTCTACCTTAGCTCTTGGTTCAGCATGTAAAACTTTCCCAATTTTTTCCCAATCAGATAATCTTAAAGACCCCTTTTCAGGATACCATAAACACTTATTTTCAATCTCCTGGACCAGCCTTAAGAGACTGCATTGTGGCACATCAGTGTGGTTTTTCTTAAGTAAATAGCTTAATTCTTCAGCATGCTTTCTTTGTCCCTCAGAAAGCGAGGCCCCCATTACTTACAGAAACCTTTAGAAGGTTGAAGAAGCCATGAAGGCTGTCTGGTGCACCAAAGTCCTTGCCGGACGAAATAAGGGTCCCTGTTCAGGCGCCACTTGTAGAGACCACACACACACAAAGGTTGAGGATGTATGTGGTGATTTTATTGTCTTACATAGTGACATTATATAGTTTGTTACTTTCAAGTTACAGCATACTTGGCAGCATCTCATTGGCTACAGAATCTTCCAGGTAACTTAAATCATAGGTTAATCATTACTGCTGGCTTAAGCACTTCTAATATTTGGCTATAATTAAAATCTAACACACATCCCACTTCCTCTCCTCCTATTCCTCTTGTTTACAGAATTAGGGTCTTATCTTCTAATGTAATTTCCTGGTGCTTACGTGCAAGTAACCTTCCTTATCTGAGGTTTGCCATCCAAGATAGGAAAATCCCTGCACATATGCAGATTGCAGATTCCTACAGTTGCTGTGAGTTTCTTTGGGCTCCATGGAGGCTCTGAAGGAGCAGGTTCGCAATCTGGGGGGTCCTTCTTGGACTTGGGGCTCCAGCTAGACAGATAAGTGGAAGCTGTGTTCAGGCTTGGCTGGTATGCCAGTTGCCTCCTTCCTTTCCTGGATCAGGAGAGATTGAAGACGGTGACTCAAGATAGCAATTCACATCTTGTAAACACATGGTAGCCATACTGCAATTTATTATAGCCGAGGTTATGCCTGAAAATACCCTAGAAGCTGAAGTTGCTATAGAGTATAGCTACTCTCCTATGGCAACTAGCTGCTTAGGAAGACTAGGACTTGGTTACCGGGATGCCTCTGAGCTGAGTCCATAGTGCTGCTGGTTATCTATTAAGTTCTAAAGAACCGAGGTCCTTGGCTGTGTGGTGTGGGAGTGTCCCTTTGTTGCAAGAACTATCAGTTCAGTTCTTACCCTTTCACCATTCAGAAGTGGGCTGAAAACAGCTCTCTTCTGTGCCATTTTGGAGCTTGGAGTTACAGTGATTGATACAGATACAGTCTTGAGGTTGGAATAGGCTTCTGTTAAAAACAGACCCAGGAAACTACCCACCAATCAGCCTAACATCAATACCTGGGAAGATACTGGAAAAGATAATAAAAAAAACCCTAGATCTGCCAACATCTAGAAACGAGTAAAGTAATAACTAGAAGCCACATCTGTTTTTGTTAAAAACAGATCATGCCAATCCAATCTTATTTCATTCTTCAGCATAGTGACTAAATTAGTCACTATGAAATACTGTGGATATAATATATTTAGACTTCAGCAAGGCATTCGACAAAGTAGACTATAACCTACTTCTTGGTAAGCTAGAAAAAAGTGGGATAGATACCATCACCATCAGATGGATTTGTAACTGGCTGACAAGCCGTGCTCAACGAGTAGTCCTTAATGGTACTACATCTACATGGGGGGCGGTTAGGGTTAGTTGTCAGTTAATAGTTAGTAACAGTAACCTTTAGCATGAATTACAGCCTTACAACGCCTTCCCATGGAGTACACCAAGTCTTTTAGTTCTGCAGCTGTTATAATGCGAAACCAAGATTGAAGGATGGCTTCTATTAACTGGGTTTTATTGCTGGGTCGCTTCTGACTAACAAGTTTCTTTAGTTGGTTCCATAGATTTTCAAGGTCTGGGCTATTCCCAGGCCATTCCAGCAGTGGAATAGGAAACTCCAAAAAAAAAAAAGTGGTATTATTAACCATCAAACCTCAAAAATATTCTTTTCCCAAAAGGTTTCCACAATGTTGGCCACTACTGTAGCTCATTCTGCAAAGCAAATTTAGTCCTTTCAGTTTCAAAAACTCAAAAGAATCCCAGTCTGCCTTGTAAGAATTACGCATCTTCCCTCCCTTGACTTTGCCCTGCTGGTATCCATATTTTGTTCTTCCATTGGCCTATTATCACATGGGTCTCTTCCCTTTGAAGAAGGAAGAAAGGAAATGGTTTTATCATATCAGAATGTCACCACTGTAATTCTTCTTTTGAGCGGGGTGTTTGCACCTAACTAAAGGAAAAGGAAAGAGTTCAAATGAAAGTGGGCTTCTCAGAGACACAAGCACATTGAATTTCCTCTGATGTTGTTACAGATGGCTTCAGGAAAGTGATGGCGCTTGAAAATGGCATGATAACCTCTGAGAAGAATCCTGCCATTGAATTTCAGCATCCGTTTTTCAAGAGAGGGAAGATTGATTTGCTGGCAAACATCAAAAGGAAGGTACTGTTTCCTAGAGTGCTACTTGGTTAAAATTTCTCTGTTCAATATTATCACATGTTACCTGGTCCATTTTCTGTTTAAAGCATTATGAGCAAAACTGGATTGGACCTTGACTGATCTCCCCCTCAAACTTAAGCAGGGCTGAATCTCTTTAGTGCTTGGATGGATGAAAAGATAATGTGGAAGAAGGTCAAGGCAAGCCGCTTGCATACAGGCGAGTTCATAAAGTCTCCAGAGTTGAGCTTGTCTTGAGGAAGGAATCTTGGCTTTGATTTTTTTTATCCATGCTAATTCTTTTTCTAATGGGTGAAATACTGAATTACTTGTAAAATTCTAGAGCTGTGGAGGCGAAACAACCAGCTACAAAATGTAATTACAGTTACATAGTTTCTGTATGACTATATATTTCAAAAACCAATAAGAGAAAAATAAAATCTCATATATTATGTAAACACGACTTAGTTTTTAAACCACAAATTAAACCTGGCCTGTGCAGGATCATGATGATGATACCAATATGACTTTCATTCAAACTGTGAGAGTGAACAAATTTCTTCAGTGGATGCCTTTGACAACTCAATATGATCTTTTTTAAAAATATATTCCAAGTACAATAAGGACAAACCTCTAAATAAATGGATAAATTCCTAAAGTTTGATACATCTTTTATTTCTCTTCCCAAGATCATATGAACAATGATGTGAACATTACACCAAAATTGACCAGCCGTAAGGCAATCAGTGTCATAGACTTCTGAGATTTAGCCTTTTCCTTTTACACGTGTATCTGCTTTTCTGAGTGGGATGTTGCAATCCTGCTTTCTCAGTACAATTTTGGTACTAGGGTAGATGAGTGCCCAGGTAGCGATTCCTGAGTGGGCATAAACAGCAGCTTTGGGTTATCATCTATGATCAGCAAGGGGAAGGTTGTGTGTCTGAGTGTTTTCAGCGTCCTCACTCCTTATGAGTCAAATTTCAATTGCGTTTGTTTTTTATAAACATGTTTCATCTTCTCATCTTCAGTCTACTCTGACACAGGTGGCCACAGTAAGGCCAGAAGATCTCAAAATCTGTCCAGACGACTTGCACAAAGTGTTGTCGGAGGTCCAGGAGATGAGGGAGCAACAGAACAGCATGGACATCAAGCTGGAAAGTATGAAAAGGTGCAACACCATGAATGCACCATGAGCAAGTATTAAGAGGCAAATCATGAGATGAGTTTCCCACCCCATCTATAAAGCTGCAGATAGAATGAAGGGATTGCCTGAGTACAGAAAGGTGGACTTGTTGGCATCCTGGATGACCATCTTCTGTTCCAACGACAAACATGATGCCATGTTATCAGCACCCACCCACTTTGAAAAGGAAATAAAGGATCTTGCTATTGTGGCTACTAATAATTGCAACTCTAGGAGGAAGACTGTTTCCTTATTAATTTTTTTTATCCTCTGTCCCCAAAGATCTTGCTCCTGCTAGTTACTGAGTTGGCCTGCTCAGCTGCAGTATTTTACCTGAGATTTTACTCACCTGCAAGTTTATTTGTTGTTCTTTAATGTTTTAATTAAGAGTGGTCTACTGTGGGACGTGAAACGATCTATAGTCATTGGGAGAGCAGAAGATGACCTAAATCTATAAAAAGCTGCCTGATGAAGGGCTGGACTGATAGGCTGTCTAACCCATTGATGTCCGCAGATACAAAACTTTCTGCTTGTCCCCTTCTTGGAAATGCTGGTGCTTTTTGCCTGCAGGACAGATATTTTGCCCTTGAGCAGTGATCTCTTCTGACTTTGGCCTCCTGAGTCTCCATTTAAAGGATCTCATGAAGCAGAGCTGAGAAAAGCCCTTCTTCAGAACCTTGGCAATAACTGTAGTTCAAGCACGATTAGGTGTACCCCTTCCTCACATCGTTTCAGAAAAGCCTCTTTTTGCCCCTCCAGAACCCCAGGGAAAGTCCCGTAATGTTGTGGCATCTCCTTTTCCATTCTGGGTCTCTTGGAATGGAAAACTGGTTAGTCTCCTCCTGCTTCCACACATCCCCTCCTTTCCTTAAGTGCAGCAACCCAAATCTTCTTGCAAAAGTCTCCACCCTTGGAAGTCAATCACTTTCACCAACTTGCCTCTTTCTGTTCCTCGCTTCCAGGGAAAACAAAGCCCTCTGGAAAGAAGTGGCCTTCCTCCGCCAGAAGCACAACCAGCAGCAGCAGCTCTTGTCAAAGGTACTGAGAATAGCCTGGCCTTAGCTTGGCGTTCTCTGCTCCAGAGCAGCCACCCCGCACCTGGGGCTCTCCCTTGAAGGCAGGAGAGGGCACGGGTGGAATGCTGCCTCCCTGAATCAGTTGCTCAGGGTCCTAAGAGTGATCTAATCTGTCCAAGTGCTTAGAAGAAGAGCACCTAGTCCAAATGCAAGATAGAAATTTTTCTCAGCACCCCCAGATTCATAGAGACAACTGAAAGGAAGAGACTCAATTGACAGTCCCAGAAGGTCTCCCTGGGCTAGAAACTTGAGGCCGGGAAGTCCTGCTGATTACTTGGAAGAACTAGGAATTGAAGAAAAAAGAACAACAACAACAACAAAGTCCTGGAGAACTTTTAAAATATATAAAATCTGTGTGGTCTAGATAAATCATTTTGCAGTAGATAGGCCATTGATTCAGAAGTTTCACTGAACGAAGAAAGGAGCAACCATTAAAGTAAATTGCAGACAAATTTTGTTGGTTGCAAAAAGCTATGCTTTTGCACACAGTGAATCACCCTATAATTTTATATTATTCTCTGCATCTTGGTTAAGGCTGAATGCATCAAGTCAGTCTCTGAATGTGTAAGAAAACTCCCACAATACGATTCATGCACAGGTCAAAAATAGGCTTTTTACTTTTTTTTAATTCTGAATCGGGTAAATACAGGGGCCTGATCAGAGAATCACAAGAAATGTAGAAACTAAGAGTTCACTGAACAGAATTATGTTTTTGTTGCATTCTGAGTGGCAAGGAAGATCAGAAGTAGTTAAATCCCTGTGAACTCCCAGAGATTGATTAATTATATAAACTGCCTTTACTCTACTCTTAGTTGAAAGGACTTTTAGAGTATTTTGTAGAACAGTTGCATCAAATAACTCCCTGTATCCAGGTTTATGCAACATTCAGAGACACTGCTGTCAAAGACAGATGGAGAGAAAAGATGAAACGAAGCAGCTTTGAATGTCTTTATAGTAGCCATCTTTAAGGAAAAATTGCACAGAGGGAAGACATCTCATAGAGGAAACCTGCCGGATTGCATCCTGTAATTGGGAATTCTCTCTGGTGCAACAGATGGATGCACCTGAGAGAATGGAAGAGAATTGCAGAGGGTCCCAAATCTGGAGCAGGTTTGTCTGTTGACTTTGAGGAAATAGTAGCAAGGATGTTGCCAATGTAATCCATTGCTCTGTTAACACAGCTTCTTCCCTGATAGCATGTAAGGTGATGAATGATAATTCAGTCCATGTTTTATTAGCTCAATCCTTAATTATTACAATAAAGGTAAATAATTGTACTGGTTAATGTGTTGGAGTTTTTAAAATCTGTTGTATAGATCCTAAATCTTACCTAAGATTGTCCGTGATAACAGCATATAAGTATGTGTGTATACACATAGTATGTTTGTGTTATTTATTTGAAGGAGGTATGCGCTAAAGGCAAAAGTTAATGAAAAGTTTTTAAAACCTTTGCCAGTTCTAGTTTGCACCACTGAATATTGTTCCTGTGCTTAATTTTGAGGCTGTGATGGTTGAGATGAGAGAGGATTGTTATTTTTCCCCTCTTCTTTCAGATCCTTGAATTTATACTGGGTTTAATGAGAGGAAACTGCATTTTGGGGGTCAAGAGAAAAAGGTAATTGCTCACTCTTTTGGTTCTGTCACTATTCAAAATGAGATTCTGATTCAAGTTTTTCCCCCCATACTGAGGAGAGAAAAGCATTCTTAAACTTCATAGGGCTCCTGCCTCCCTGTTAAGGGGATACAAACGGAACAGTTGAAATGATTCCAAAATGTTGCCTGTCCTGTTTCTTTCATCGTGCTCCTATTTCTGATTACTTTGCCTATCTTTTCACGGCCTCTGGGTGAGCATTATTCTTGCCTATGTGAAGGTATTTCAGCTACTCTATTTGTGGCTTTTCAGGACACAGCCCCTGTTTATGGTTTGCTGTGAACAAGCCAAATGCTTGACTTCTTTCTGACACCTTCATCTGCCAGATGTTTCACTTACCGGGGAAAAAACTCAAAGAGCCGGCAGCTTTTGTAGGTTGGTTTTTCTTCTTAGCATCAGGTGAAAATGGCTGGCCACTGAAGCCTGAAAAGGCCAGGGATACTCTTTTCAAGCCACAGGGGAAATGGGGAAGAACAGAGAGAAACCGCGGATGTATTTCTTCCAGGTCTTAGACTTCAGAAGAGCACATTGTACGAACCTGTTCTATACAGGTAGTCCATGACTTACGACCACAGTCGAGCACAACATTTCTGTTAAGTGAAATATTTGTTAAATGAGTTTTGCCCCATTTTACGACTTTTATTGCCACAGTTGTTAAGTGAAACTCTGAAGTTGTTAAGCTAGTAACACGTTTGTTAAGTGAATCTGGCTTCCCCACTGACTTTGCTTGTCAGAAGGTCACAGAAAGTGATCACGTGATCCCAGGACACTGCAACCGTCATAAATATGGGTCAGTTCCCAAGCATCTGAATTTTAATCATGTGACCATGGGGATACTGCAACTCTCATAAGTATGAAGAGCGGTCATAAATCACTTTTTTCAATCGTGTTGTAACTTCGAGCGGTCACTAAATGAACTGTTGTAAGTCGAGGACTACCTATACTTCCCTTACTGAGGAAATTATGCAGAAGGATGTGAAGCTTTAAAGCTAATTAAAGCTAATCAAAGTTTTAAAGCTAATTTCCATGAGATGCATCTTCAGCTCATAGTATGCTATGGTATGCTAAGAACCGGAAGCTTTGGGGTTTTTTAGATAGTTTTTCAAACTCTATTTTAAGGGGATCTGGGAGGAGGGTGGTTTCCAATGTAAATAATGAGGCTGGGGGGCCTCCTGGGAGGGGGGTGGGTTGTATGGGTTCAGGGATTAACCCGCGAGGGACGGGATCTAGTCCATCTGAAGAGCACAGCGGAGGAGATGCAGAATCGGGGGCCAAGGAGAGGGTTAGAGCTTGTGCTGTTGATAGACATTACATCAGTACTGTAGGTGGGAGGGGCAGATATGGCGGGAGTAGGGGGCCACATCAAGTTGCGGGAGTGCGTGCTCGCTGTCTTCAAGCGGTGGCACGCTCCGGCCCCCAATGCTCTTCTCGTTCCCAGGTGGCACAGACCCTCAGGCCCTGGGCCTTCGGCTGATGCTATGCAATGCCAGGTCCGTGGTAAATAAAGCCCCCCTCATTTGTGATCTTGTTCAGGAGGGGGGAGCGGACCTGATGGGTATTACGGAGACCTGGTTGGGCCAGGAGGGGGGAGTCCCTCTCGTAGAAATGTGCCCACCCGGTTTCCGGGCATTTCATCAGCCAAGGTCACAGGGAAGGGGCGGGGGAGTAGCAGTTATCATTAAAGAGGGTCTTGGTCCGAGGGAGGCCACTGTTCCTCAGACGGCCGGATGTGAGTCCCTCCTTGTGAAGTGGGGTCATGGGGTGCAGATGGGCCTGCTGGTTACGTACCTGGCTCCCTGCCACGTGGCAGCAGCCTTGCCTGAACTACTCAACGTTATAGCCGCGGTGGCGATTGATACCCCTAGGCTTATGGTCATGGGGGACTTCAACCTGCCATCCGTCGGTGAGGCGTCTGAGATGGCTCAGGAGTTCATGGCTTCCATGACGGCCATGGACCTGACCCAATTAGTTCATGGCCCTACTCACACGGGGGGAAACACGTTGGACCTGGTTTTTGTCTCTGGTCAGTGGCTGAGTGGTCTCGAGATAGGGGATATAGAGATCAAGCCCTTGTCATGGTCAGATCACTCCCTCCTTCACTTTGACCTTCGAACCACCACACCCCGCCGCAGGGAGGCGGAACCAATGAGGTGGTTCCGCCCCAGGCACCTGATGGACCCGGATAGGTTCCAGACGGAGCTTGGGCCATTTCCTGAGGCTCTGGCACACGGCTCGACTGAAGACCTAGTGGCTGCCTGGGATAGGGCGGCCGCTGGAGCTTTGGACCGGGTCGTGCCTTTGCGGCCTCTAACCCGGCATCGATCTCACCTGGCTCCCTGGTTCACCGAGGAGCTGAGGGAGATGAAACGCCGGAAAAGACGCCTGGAGAGCAGTTGGAGGGCCAGCCGTTCTGAATCTGACCGAACACTGGTAAGGTCTCATATTAAGACCTACCTGGTGGCAATAAAAGCGGCAAAGTGTAACTATTTTTCTGCTCTTATTGCGTCATCAGATAATCGCCCGGCCGCCCTGTTTAGGGTGACCCGCTCCCTGCTCCACCAGGAAGGGCGGGAGGACCCCTTGGAGGGTAGAGCCGAGGACTTTGTACAATATCTGTATGACAAAATCGCTCAGATTCGGGAAAATTTGAACTCTGACTGGGTAGATTCGGGAGGGAGGATGGAGGCAAGCCTTGAGAATATTACCTGGGAAGAGTTTGATTCTGTGACTCCGGAAAACATGGACAAGATACTGGGCAGACTGAGCGCGGCCACATGTTTATTGGACCCGTGTCCCTCCTGGCTGGTGCTGGCCTCTCGGGAGGTTACACGAGGCTGGCTCCAGGGGATTATAAATGCTTCCTTGAGAGAGGGTGCCTTCTCCGCCGCCTTGAAAGAGGCGGTGGTGAAGCCTCTCCTCAAGAAGCAGTGTTGGCTAATTACCGTCCAGTCTCCAACCTTCGCTTCGTTGCGAAGGTTGTTGAGAGTGTGGTAGCGCGACAGCTTCCTCAGGACTTGGATGAATCGGCTTATCTAGATCCGTTCCAGTCGGGCTTCAGGCCTGGATACAGCACGGAAACGGCATTGGTCGCATTGGTAGATGATCTCTGGAGGGCCCGGGACAGGGGTTGCTCCTCTGTCCTGGTCCTATTAGACCTCTCAGCAGCTTTTGATACCATCGACCATGGTATCATGCTGCACCGGTTGGAAGAGTTATGGGTGGGGGGCACCGTGTTGCGGTGGTTCTCCTCCTTTCTCTCTGATCGGTCACAGTCTGTGTTAACAGGGGGGCAGAGGTCGACCCCGAGGCCCCTTGTATGTGGGGTGCCACAGGGGTCGGTTCTCTCACCCCTTCTGTTCAACATTTATGTGAAGCCGCTGGGTGAGATCATCCGTGGTTTTTGGGGTGAAGTATCATCAGTATGCTGATGATACTCAGCTATACATCTCCACCCCGGACCACCCCAATGATGCCCTTAAAGTGATGTCCCGGTGCCTGGAGGCTGTACAGATCTGGATGGGGAGGAACAGACTCAGGCTCAACCCATCCAAGACCGAGTGGCTGTGGTTTCCGACATCCCGATATAGTCAGTTGGTGCCATCATTGACTATTGGGGATGAGTCAATGCCCCCCACGGAGAGGGTTCGCAACTTAGGCGTCCTCTTGGACTCATGGCTGTCTTTAGAAGAACACTTGACGGTTGTGGCCGGGAGGTCTTTTTATCAGGTTCGCCTGATTCGCCAGTTGCGTCCCTTTCTGGATCGGGACTCATTAAATATGGTCACTCATGCCCTCGTCACTTCACGCCTGGACTACTGCAATGCTCTCTACATGGGGCTCCCCTTGAGGAGCACCCGGAGGCTCCAGCTGGTCCAGAATGCGGCCGCGCGGGTAGTTATGGGAGCAGCATGGCGCTCCCATGTGGCTCCCCTCCTGCGCGAGCTGCACTGGCTCTCTGTGGTCTTCCGGGTGCGCTTCAAGGTCTTAGTTACCACTTTTAGAGCGCTCCATGGCTTAGGACCGGGGTACTTACGAGACCGCCTTCTGCCACCAATAGCCTCTCACTGCCCAGTACGCTCCCATAGAGAGGGGCTTCTCAGGGTGCCGTCAGCCAAACAGTGTCGACTGGCAGCCCCCAGGGGGAGAGCCTTTTCTGTGAGGGCACCCACCATCTGGAACGAGCTCCCCCCAGAGATACAGAGGATCCCAGATCTGCGCACTTTCCGCCGTGCCCTCAAAACATTCCTGTTTCAGCAGGCCGGCCTGGCCTAACTTTCCCTTTATATTGCTTTTGATTTTATTTTAAACTGGGATGTCTTGAATTATCTAGGACCAGAGTGTTTAGTATATTTTAATTGGTTTTTTTAACGTTTGTATTACATGTATTTTTATCGTTCGCTGTTCACCGCCCTGAGTCCTTCAGGAATAGGGCGGTATATAAATTTAATAAATAAATATTTTTTTTTATTTTTTTTTTATTTGATTTATATGCCGCCCTTCTCCGAAGACTCAGGGCGGCTTACAATGTGCTCAGCAATAGCCCAGGGCTTGTACAGAGGCCCAGGGCTTGTACAGAGTTGGCAGAGGCCTGGCCAGTGGCTTCTTCCAATTGGGAATGTTCAGACGATTGTGTCCAGATATTGAACTCATGTCCATTTTTTCCATGTGCACAGAAAAAAACATTTAGGATGGTTATAACTAGTGGGGTGGGGTTTCCAAAAAGGGGTAGGTGCATTTGGAAAGCACATGGTCCATCGTTCTACGTAAAATAAATGACTGTTGTACATTTTCCTAGGCAGGAACATCCCATGTGAGAAAGTATGATTTCATTTGAGCACAAAAAAGAGTTGCCTTGGATTTTGTCACTCATATTTATTGGCTGGAGACCATACTATATTCCAGATGGAAGCTGTTCCTAGAAAAAGCCAGTCCATTTTAGTTCCATAATGATTATGCCTTGATTGTGTTGAAAGCCTGCCTCAATTTTGGTTCCTAAATGCTGTGAATTGCCAGCTGTGATTTTAAAGGTCACTCTCTCAAATCCTGTAATCCTCCAATCAGTTTGGTAGCTGTAAAGGGGTAAACAATACTTGGTTCATCAGGGCTGCTTTCTAAATCAAGGTAGATACTGTATACAGCAAAATTAGGAAGTCACATTTAGACCATTATATTCAAATGAACATTTCATCAGTTTGTCTAGGGTCTTAAAAAGCATTCTTCAGAAGCATGCAAATGTTAAATTTATTTGTTTCTTTTAAAAAGGGAGTAAAGATTCCCTCTGCAAATTTGTTTTCTTGGACTGTTCAGACATCTGAGAGGTGAAAAACTCGTTGATCAAAACCTAGTTTTGTTTTTACCAAGCCAAATGATGATTTTGGCTTGGTAATGATTTTCTTGCTCGGGAATGTTTCCATTGTATGCATGCAGTGGTTTCTGCATACAAGGCTTTCTGGTTCATCTGTCCATCCAGCTCTATAGCTCTCTGTGCTCTACTTCTCCCAGGTCCTTGGCTGATGCTTCAGACCCTTCGGCTCCAAAATTCAGCCGCCAGTACGTGCGCATTCCTGTGGAAGACTGTGAAACCGTAAGACTTCTTTTGTTTTGTTTTCCCCCCTGATCCTCCTAAAGCAGTTCATGCTAAATTCATTCTAGCTTAGTTGGTTATAAAATTCCCTCTTAATAATGCCTGTTAATTTTTTTTAATACTGCATTTCAGTTTCACTAGGAATTCTAATAATTGCCAGAGCATTAGCAGTTTTACTGTAATAACAATTGTCTGGAGAAGAAAAATTATGATAAGGGTGTTGGATAGACTTCTTGTTGCTCTTGTGCCCTTAGACAGCCCTTTCGGAGCATGGCCCAGACTGCCAAGACTCCATTATCATTTGTGACATCACAGATGCTCAAGAGGAAGAGGAGGAAGAAGATGATGCTGCCCCAGAGAAGTTTTTGGCACTGGTGCACTCCAATCATGAAAGTTGGTGAGGTTACAGATATTCAGATGTTTTTACTGAGAGACAACACTGAAGCTGAGGCAGGCTGCTTCATAATAAGTGATCAGAGTGCTGAATGTTTCTACCCTAAAGGTGTGGCCAAGAGATGTCTGTATACCTTTGTTTGTTCTGTAAAATCTTGGTTTGAGATGTGGTTACCGCCATGTTCCTGGGAAGGAAAAGTAGAATTGGGAGTTTGTCTTAAAAAGTAGATGTGTCTGTCTTTTTGATGGCTTGGCTTCTACAACTAAGAGGTTGAAAGTTTGTGGGTGTGGCATTTGTGGCTGTATGAAAGCAGATTATGCAGTCTGAGGTCCAGCATTGTCCATTATGGTTTGTCAGGAACTCCAAGGCTTCTCCCAGCTTTGCCAGGCTCAGATCTTGAACCTAGGATTCAATTACGTAGCGGTGGGCCAGGCCCCAAAGGTGCCCCTAACACTTGACAATGCCATGAAAATGGAGATACCAGCTTCTCAAAATGCAAGTTTATGTGGTGCTGAGAGTGTCGCATATAGATATAGAAGGAATAGGGTTTTCATAATTAAAACCTTCCTTTTATGGCATTTCATAAAGTGTAGAGTAATATGCATTGGATTCTGGTTTTTTATATATGATTTTTTTATTGGTTTTTCAAAATATAGAATATAAAGAAAAATAAAGTAGTGGAAAAATAAGAAGAGGGGGAGAGAAAAGAAAAGAAATATAGTATAAAGGGAGAAAAGGAAAGAAAAAGGCACCAACTTCCAACTCTCTTAGCACAGTAAAAGATAACAACATTACCACAACTTTTTGCTTTTACACAACAATATGTAGAGCCATTTCTATAACAATAAGCCTATCTAGTTAACAAAAACAAAATCAAAGTTTCATTTCTTTTTTCATTGCAAGCACAAAATCTGGAAATAATTTCAGAATAATAACAAGGTTACACATATTCTCTTCTTTGGATAAAAGAATCAATTTGACGATCTCTGCTTCTCTTTGCTGTGGGGAGTAATAGATGCTTCTGTTAACTCATTAATCTTTATCATAATTTATATTAAGAAACTGCTCTATATTATTTTATTTTTTTAACCCTAAAGGGAGAAAACACTTTTTTTTAGTTTTGATATTTTATTACCTTTAAAAAGTACTCAAGTATTATATATAAAAGAGAAAAAAGAAAACCCTTCATTTTAAACCCAAAACACAATATTACTTTAGAGCTTTCATTCAATTACATATATCATACTAATAAAAGTTCAATTAACTCCAATTAGCACATTGACAGATTCGGATCTGTCCCTCGAGTTTATCCTTATGGAATGGATCTTTTTCTTTTATTTTCAAATTTAATCAATAGTATTTTACAAACTTTGGGAATTATTCAGCATTACATAAAAAGACAGAGGACATACATTTACAAACTCATTTTGTACATACAAAACTAACTTAGCTTTCTTTCAATATATACGGTATATCAAATTTCTGAAAGTCCATCCTAACTAAGTCATTAAATTTAAGTCACTCCCTTCAGCTTATCTTCACAGAATGAAGTTTTTTTTTTTCCTCAGGGGAATCTTATCAAGTCTCTTTTCTTCAAGAGGTTTTCAGCCTTATTTATATGCATGAAAAAATATTCCCAAAGTTGTTCTGTTAGACGTTGTAAATTAACCTGGAGCAAATCATCGTAGATTAAAGTTTCCTACTTTATATTTATATAATAAATTTTGTTTATCTTACAAAGGCACACTTAGGTTATTTGCATTGTCCAGCATTTGTAGAGTTGACAGATAGGGTTGATAATTTTCTACACCTAATTGTATCTCTTGTTCTTTTTTAATATCCTCTATATAATTAATATCTTCAAACTGATTTATGAAATGAACAGTTTTCTGTATGGATTTTTCAGAGTTAAACATCTTTGTAGCTCCCTCTGGTAGCCAAAAAAATTGTTTGTTTGTTTGTTTGTTTGTTTGTTTATTCCTTTTTCTAGCCAATCAGAATTCATGAACATTGGCAAATTTCAACCACCCACAACAAAACATTGCAGGCCTACACATTACTTTAAAAGTAATAGATTAAAACCACAAATTTTATCCTTATATTTCAAGAGAAAAAATACTCCATGCTTCCTTCTTTTGGCTGCCTCTAACAACCCTCTTCCTTGTCATGTAACAATAAAGAGGACTCAGAAATGGTGTTCAGAGCTTCCAAAAGGAGTTGTAAGCTATAACTAAAGATAGCCTCTTTTAACTAATAGAGAGAATAGTCTCATGAAGTGATTAAGAAATGAAGGGCACAGCTTATTGTCTGTTAACAGTGATGTGATCTCAAGCTCTCCCCACAGCTTCACCCCCCCAGCTATTCTGAAGCACGGTTTCTAAAACTCTTGCAGATTGTTGCTGTTATCAGAGGATCTTGAGAAATGATTCTGAGATTCTCCTTAACCCCAGAGAGTCAAATAAACAAAAGGAAGTCTGTTCCTTCTGTTGTTGAGTTGGAAAAATGACAGTCCAGAGAGAGGAGATTCTCTGGGCGTGTCAGTGCTGGCCAAGTCTTCACCAGAAGTCCATTGGATTTTTTAAAAAGGAAAATTAAAGGCAAAGATGCCCTCAAGGCGAGTTTGGCTTCTGATGACTGCACCCACGCGGTATTACAGAAGAGGCTTGCCTTTATCTCCTTATGGATTGTTCTTCCAAGTTCCCAGTCAACGGTATTCAAATTCATATGTGGGTCCCCAGACAAGTATGAACCAGGACTGATTGATTGTTTAGATTCTAAGATCTGTCCAGACCATTAGGGACTCTGGGAAAGGAAATCAACATTAGATTTCCTTTCAACAATAGAAAGGGAAAAGGATGCAAAACCACTTCTGTAGTCCTGTAGAACTGTATGGATGCTGTGATTTGATTCGAGAGTCTCTTTGCCCTTTTAAAATGGATAGACACTAGCAGTGCAGGGTTCCCATTGGAAAAAGAGGGTTCTCTCCACTTTGGGGTGCTGTGGTGAAGTGCTTTGCTGCACTATTTCGAGAAAATGAAAGTTGAGTCTGTGCCTGTTGTGTGTTTTCAGGAAGGCTCCTGTGCCCACCAGAGAAGGAATTCCCACTTGTAAAACAATAGAGACCTCCGAGCCAGAAGTGCCCCAAGGTGACCATTCGGTTCAGCTCTTGGATGGCTCTCTCCAGTCCAGTGCTGTGGAGTTGCACATTCCACAAGTCAACGCTAATGAAGAAGCTGCAGCAGTGATCGATTCCATCATTAACGAAAACCAAACAACGGCCTCAAGTGACTCTTTCCTTGAAAGGTGTGTGTCTATTTTCAGAGAGGCAACACCTGGCAGGATTATCCCCTGCCACAGAACCATGACATTGGAGGAGATTAGTCTCTTCTTTGCCATCCATGACAAGTACCTGTCTAGCATCAGACAGCTTCCCCCCCCCACAACTTTCCAAGAAAGTTGGTTCTATTGTTTATTAATGAAATCCTTGTTTTTTCCCTTTGTTTCTTGGGCTGCTGTCTTCCTCGTTCTTCAGCGTCCCTTTGGAAGGGAAAAGACTTCTGAATATTTCTGTTGAGCATAAGCTGTAAATTCCTTGCTAGATTCTTCCTCCTTATTTCTCAGTGTAAACTGCTGTGAAAGAAACTCTCGCTTCCCATCCTCTATCCTGTAGAGTAGAGAGAATAGAATAGAATAGAATAGAATAGAATAGAATAGAATAGAATAGAATAGAAATAGGACTAGAGAATAGCGAATAGCGAATAGCGAATAGAATAACTTGGTCACTTTAAATGTACACTAATTGGCATATGTTAAAATGAAATTTTGTTGCATACAGCTCTCAAAGGGTCACCACCTCCAATATACATTACATAAACATGACTAAATAAATAAATAAACAAAAAATTATGCAAAAACCCACATATATTATATGACACAGAGAAACAACACAGTCTAGTTTGGATGTATACATGTACATGGCGAGAAAAACTAATCTTGCAGGTTTTACCAGATGGATGGCATAGAGAACAAAGCTGTTACAAAATCTGGTAGTCCTGCTAGAAATTCTTTGAAACCACCTCCCAGGAAGGAGCAACAGAAACAGACAATGAGGTGAGCGTGTGGGTTCTCTAACAATGCTTCGAGTGCAGAGTGCTTATAAGCAGTATCCTGAATAACAGGAAGCGAGCTTCCTAGAATCTTCGCCTCTGTCCTTACTACTCTTTTTATGGACCTTCTGTCTGAGGCAGTGATGCAGCTTGTTAAAATGCTCTCAATCATACTTCTGTAAAAAGTGGCCAGGACAGAAGGAGAAAGATGTGCTCTCCTCATCCAATGCAAGAAATGCAGGCGCTGGTTTCGTGCTTCACTAATGATGACGTGTGGAGAGACCAATTGGAATAGTTAACTATCTGCAGCCCCAGATACTTAATACTGTTGACCACTGTTACAGCTGCATCCTTGACACTGAGTCGAGTATGACTATGTGGCTCTTTCTAAAATCTACAATAATCATCTTTGTTTTATTAACATTTAGAACCAAGTTACTTTTATTGCACCAGTCCAGCAGAGCCTTTACCTCTTCCCTATAAGCATCTTCATTGTTGTCCCACTTCTGCCGTGTTGTCTGCACACTTCACAATATGATTTGTAGCAGATTTGGCACAAGACCCAGCCCTGTGGGGAACCCATATTCAAGGAGATGGGAGTTGGAAACTTTTCTTCCAACTCGCAGAAACTGGGGCCTATCACTAAGGAAATCAAGTATCCAGTTACATAAAGGAGTATTAAAACCTAATAGGCCCAGTTTGTTCACCAAATGCTGAGGAATGATTGTGTTGAACACCGAACTAAAATCAGCCAACGGCATTCACACATGAGTATTCTTCTCCAAGTGCGTCAAGCTAAGATGAAGCACACAGGAAAGTGCATCATCTATAGATTCTTCCGATAGGCAAACTGTAATCTAGTCAACTAAAGGCTTCCTACTACTGCAGATGAAGCTGGCCCTTCTGAGTTTCTTCTTGGAATGTAGTGAAAAGGCATTTGCTTCCTTCTGCCTGTTTTTTTTTTTTTTTTTAGTTTTATTAAGTATAAAAAAAATCCATTTCTAAATAAACTGTGTTGTCTGCATACAAATAATTTTGAGTAATAATAATCATAATGTTTACAATAATATTCATCACATTAATATTGATCTCATAGTAGTAGTATTTGCTGATCCATTTTAATAAACCTTCCTTATAAAATTAATCCTTCTCTTATATTTCCATATTTCTAACTTCTGTTTCTGTTGGTTAGCCATTGATAAAATGAGTCCTAGGTTAAAAAGTATTCAGTTTCTTCCTTTGCCTTAATTTTAAGTGTTAATCTATCCATTTCTGCACATTTTAATATTTTTTTAAATTACGTTTTCCTCTGTAAGGGATTTCTTCACTTTTCCAATGTTGTGCAAATACAATTCTAGCTGCAGTTAGCAAATTTAAAATTAAGTATTTATTCCCTTTTATTATATTTTCCGGTAAGATACCCAAAAAATATTTCTGGTTTTAGATCTATGTGTTGCGTCCTCATTTTTTCCAACCATGTACCCTGTTTCCCCCAAAATAAAACATCCCATGATGTTTTATTTTGGGCTTAGGACAACCCCCGACCTCCTCTCCTTCCGCCGCGAACTGAAGATGTGGCTTTTTTATCAAATGGGCTGATCCGTTGGGGGATTTTTACATTGAAATAATTTTAATAAATTTTAATTGGATTTTAATTTTTATGTAATTTTCGAATTGTTGAATGTTTTCTTTGTAAGCCGCCCTGAGTCTTTCAGGAGAAGGGCAGCATAATAAAAAATAAATAAACAAACAAACAAGCAAACAAACAAACACGCACGCAAGCAAGCTTATTTCAGGGTTCAAAAAAATGTAAGATGGGAATTTTTGGAGAAACATGGTATGTATTTTTGTCCAATATTTTTTGCCTTTGGGCATGCCCACCACATATGATAATATGAACCTGGTATCTGATTACATTTCCAACATCTAGTGGACATGTCCTTAAACATCTTTGCCAATCTTGTTGGTGAAAAATGCCATCGATAAAACATTTTATAAAGATTTTCTTTATATGCAGTTGACATCGTTAATTTATAATTCCTGTCCTACAGTTTCTGCCATTTATCTAACTCTATTGTGTAACCAAAATTTTTGGCCCATACAATCGTTGTCTCCTTTACTTGCTCTCTTTCAATTTTAATATTCAATAGATAATTATATATTTTTTTAATTAGTTTTTCATCCGTCCCTGTTAATATCTGGTCTAGTTCTGTTGGTTCTTTATAAAAACCATACATTTTAGCATCTTTTTCACATTGAGATTGTATCTGCGCTTGTGGCCACCATGTTATATCAATCCCTTGACTGTTCAATTCTTGCTTAGTTTTGAGCTCTTCCTCTTCAATCAAAATATCTTTATATCTTATAATTTTTTCCATGTTAATAACATTTGGATGTATCAGTGCCTCCATTGTAGAAAGCCAGACTGGTATTTTCAAGTAGTGGTGTTCTTTAGTTTTTGCCCATACTGACAATAGTGCATTTCTAATATCGTGTCTTTGAAAATAGCTATGCATTTTGTTTTTCCCATACCATAAAAAAGGCATGCCACCCCATGGAGATCATGTCCCTCCAAAGTTAATAATCTTTTATGCCTCAAACTAATCCATTCTTTCACCCATATAAGTACCAAAGCCTGATAGTATAACTCCCAGTTCTATTTATATTTCCCTGTTTCCCTTTGCAGAGAAGAGATCCAAGACTTCTTGAATTGTATTGATGCGAGTCTTGAGGAGCTTCAGGCAATGCTGTCTGGGGAAAAAACCAACCATGCTTCGGAAACACTTACTGATGTGAGTCCACTTTCCTGTGTGGATTTCTTAGCTGGGCTGCTGCCTGCCTCTCACATTACCTAGAGAAGAAAAACTGGGTTGCGGCTGTTTTTCCATTCTCTGCCTTCTCTGTCTTTCCCTACCCTTCAGGATCAGGGGAAATTCTCCAAGCACCCCTGACAGCAAATTGGTGTCCTGGCAAGACACCAATTTACTGTCAAGGGTGCTTGGAGAATTTCTGTGAGAGCTGGGACTGACCTAGGGAGCCAGCCTTCAGCACCACCCCTGTGTGCCCTTCTGCCTCCTTGCTGCCTTCTTCCAGGAGAATATGGCCAGTTCTGCACCTGCTGAGTCATGGGGGCAAAACACGTGGCTTCCATGCCCCCTGACTCGGACTCCACACCAGAGCTCAAACCTTGCACTTCTCTCATTAGAAACCATAACTTACCACAACCCCTTTGAATCAGGACTGGACTGGTTACCACATTCCCGTGTGTATCTAAAGCAGTGGAAAACACCATTTTGGCCATCCTTAACAGAACTGAACCATGGAGGGTGAGGTGGGGAAGGAAGTGATGCTGTTCCCTTCCCCTCTCCTTGGAGACCTCCTGGCTGAGGCCTCACAAGGATAAGGGCAGTAAACCCCCCTCCCCTCCATAATTAAGATGCCTCCCTTTAGGATGAGTCAGGTTCTGGGAAGACAAGGGGAGCGCCCCTAAGAAAGAGGAGACTGGATTTGCTCTCCATAGGGCCCAAGAGTAGGAGAAGAATCAGTGAGTGGAAGCTTTATAGGGAAGGTCTAATCTTCAAAGCATGAGATTCGTCCTAATCATGACACCAGATGAGCAATGTGAATTGTGAGGGCTCCGCCAGTGGAGGCTTTCAAGCAGAGGCCGCACAGCTGTTTATTTGGGCTGGTCCTATGATTCCTGGCTCGGGGGGTGTGGGGGTGGCAGTTTGTACCAGAAGACCTCCAGGTTCCCTTCCAGCTCTTTGATTTTATGATTCTTTTTATTTATTTATTTATTATATTTATATGCCACCCGTTTCACTTATGGCGCCTCTGCTTCTAGGATTGAAGGGCATCATCTTTTAGTCTCAGTGCACTTTGGCTAACTTGAAGGAAGCTTATTTAAGTTTTTTCTATGTTTAAGAATTTGACTTGTTTCAAGGGAGGTTCGTGTCATATTTTTGTTGTTTAAATTGTTTCTAATCAATAAAACAAATCAGATTGCCTTCATTTCTACCTCTAGACTTTCAGTCCAGAGCTCCCTGTGTTGGATTCAAGCATACCAGAAGCTCCTCTCAGATTGGAAAAGGTAGGTAGTGGGTCTTCCTTGGCTCCTGGGAGGGAGGGGAGCAGCGAATTGTGAAAATGGGGTGGGTGAGACTTGGAATTGAAGGATCCAGAGTGTGTTTCTTTCTGATCAGCAAAGTTGCTTAGAAAATGCTGGACCCTGAACAGTTGAATTTCAGGAATACCTTTGCCAGGTGAATGGAGTAGTAGAAAAAGAGAGCAAGAGCAATAAATGAAGAAGGTTAACAGATACAGATCTCCCCTCTCACTCTCTCTCTCACATACACACATTAGCTTTTTTAGTGTAGTTAGACCTCTTTTCATAGGAACTTTCAGCAGATCACAATAATTGAACCATTTCAAACTGGTTTACATATTTGGTATAAACCTGATTTGCGGACAATTTTAGTCAGCTGAAGAACCTGCCCAGTGGATAAAGAATAAAGGTGGTTGCTGAAGATCTTGGAGATGTTTTCCTCTTTCCTCTCCTTACTTGTTCTCTTTTTTTAAGGAGAAAAAAAACCCAGTCAGTCATAAAATAAAGCTATAGGGCAAATCCACAGCTTGATGGTCCACTGTTAAATGGGGCTCCCAGGTCTGACCTCTGCATTGGGGGAGGGGTGCCCATGAGAATGTTCTCTTGACTCGGCTGCCATCCCTGTCTTGGAGGGCATAAAAGATCCAGCTGCCCACAGTCACTTTCTTCAGACCGCGGAACTGTAGGAAAGCTGGTGAATGAGCTGCCCCAGGAGCCCTTCCTTTCAGGCCACCGGGTACAATGAAAAAGTAGCTTTAGTGTTGTAAGTCACCCAGAGTTGCCTCGCAGAGAGATGGGCGGGAAATAAATTTAATAAGTAAATCAATTTCCCAGATGGCATTTGTGCTATCAATATTGCTGGCTGAGCTTCTGAAAAGATTTTTTTTAGCTTTTCCAGCATGGTGCTATTCAGATAGGACTAAGGAGAAATTTCCTGACAGTTAAAACAATTAACCAGTGGAACAACTTGCCTCCAGAAGTTGTGAATGCTCCAACACTGGAAGTTTTTAAGAAGAGGTTGGCTAACAATTTGTCTGAAGTGGTGTAAGGTTTCCTGCCTAAGCATGGGGTTGGACTAGAAGACCTCCAAGGTCCCTTCCAACTCTGTTATTCTATTCTAGACAAACTACTGCTTCCGTCATTCCACGGAGGCTGAGGAATGCTAGTTCTGTCCTTCCTTTCAAGAAGTCAGAGTAAGAAACATCCATACCGTTTTTTCCCCTGTCAGTTCCAGCCCATGACATGGATTCACCGGTGTGCCCCTGCTCTCTTTCCAACCTTCCTTCAGAAGCCATAGAGCCAATTTATAGGTAGCTCAGGTTCCTCAGCCTCCCCTCAGATTAGAATTGATGCCTATTGTGAGTGGATGCTCCTGAGGGGATTGCAGAGCCAGCTTGAGGCTTGTGGCTGATGTGGTGCTGCCAATTCCCCCCCTTGCTCAGAAGGTCCTGTTCAGTTTATGTGAGGCCATTGAGGGGTTAGGAGCGATTTTGCCATTAGAGGGAGTTTTGCACCAAAGAAGCCCTTTGGAAAGCAGCCTGTGTTTTGTTGGGATTTGCCTGGCTTGATTGGGCTTTAATCTCTGATGTTTCTTTTCTCTGTTTATTAGGGGCATTTTCCAAGGCCTGGCTTGCTAGTTTTTTTCTGATAACATTTGGGTAGTTAAAGCCTTGGACTCGGGCAGATAGGTCTGGAAACCTTTTTCTTAGGCCATTCAGTTCTAATTCTGCATTCTGCAAGACTTGCTGTACTCTATGATCAGAACAGCCTCCCTAATAAAAAGGTTCAGGTTAAACAGTTTTAAATTGTATTGTGATAAAGAGACCTCTGCTAAATCTAAATTCTTTTGTCAACTGAGTACTTAAAAGAAAATCCACTCATTTTTCTTTTCAAATGAGCTCCTTTTTCAGGATGGTTTGGATTCTGCTAATTGGAGTAAACCTCTGGTAGCTTCCACCAATGACCTGGACTTTGTAAGTGGCGCTCAGAAGAACTGTGTTGGACCTATGCAGCACACAGGTCTCCTAGGAAGAAATGGGAGTGGGATGCGGGGCATTTTGCTTCCGAAGGAGTGTAGAAGGCTAAGGCCCGGACTCCCTCTGTTTCCAGAACTTGTGCTCTGCAGACAGACAGTCCTGGCTTCCTGCAGAGACGGTGTGGCTAGCCAAGATGGTATGTTTCAATAGAGAGTCCCAAAATGAAATGTAAGATGTCAGGTGCTTGCAGTGTTGATCTTTCGTGTGATGCACATAAAAGTATAGTTTACTAGAATTATTTTTATGCTTATATCCTTATTTTTTTAAAAAAAATTGCAGCATTCAGTTGCAGCAGAAATATCAAAACAAATATCTCTAAATATTTCTATTGACCACTTGTAGAATAGATAAAAAGCAAACACCGAGCTGTACTGTCAGCCAGGGCACATGTGAACCAAGGAGGCTTTAAGCGGAGCGTTACCAATAGAAGCTTGGGAAGCAAAGCCCTGGCTGGGCTATTATAGCCAGAGTGATGAGCTGATTAAAGGGAAGACAGGAGACATAATTAAACTGATGAGGATACAGTTGACTCTCTTGTCCTTGTGTTTTAAAAAAGGTACTGTTGCATTTAAAACAAATATTCTAAAAATATTTTTCTGTGCATTTGTTTCTTTTTTTAGACAGAAGACTTATCAGCAAATTTAGACACAGATGGGATAATGGATGAGGAAACCTCAGGGAAGAATGGTGAGCAGGGCAAGAAATTGGGAATTGTTTTACCAAATCAGTCTGGTGAAGCTAAACAGGGGTGGATCCATTTGGAGGGAACATCCTTTTCAGGTTGTGTGTAGCTTATAACATCTGTTCCATAGGCGTTGGTGTCCTCCATAATCTTGAGCCCACGTGGCTCAAAGGGGCTAGGAATTTGGAATGTCAGACTCCAGTCCTTTTGAGAGCGTCCAGTTCAGAGGAGCTGCCCCACAAGTGCCCGAATCTGCCTCTGACTCACTGGCTTTCATGCACTGCTAGAGGGGACAGCCCTGAGCACCTTTGCTTTCCCCATACAAAACTTTATTTTTAGCATTTTCTTCTAGTTTGAAATTTTATTTGGGTTATAAGCGATTGAGTCTTTTTGTTCTTACACGTTTGAAGAGCAGAGAGAGGAAGAGAGGAATCGGACGTGCAATGAAAGATTGTGACTTTCTGAAGTGCAATCTTGTTTTTAAAGGCAACTCTGATGCCAGAGGGCTGAGTGGACAGTGCAGGAATCCCCCATCAGCTCTGTTTGTGTTTTTGACCTTACAGTCCGGCTTTTATTTTCCCAGCCCTTGAAATCCTTTACGGATCTGAATCCGAGGTCTCTTCTGTGGGGCTGGAAATTGAGGGGACTGGCTCCAGTGGAGGAATGTTCAGAGGAAATACTTTTCAAAGACAAGTTGGTAGCCCCAGCAGTGAGATTGAAATTGCCAGTTTGTTTTTGTGGGGGCAGAGTTTTTGATTTCCTTACCATGCCCTGTGCGCACCTCTCCCCAATCTTGATGGTGGTGACAGCATCCCCTTCGCCAACTTCCTATTTCTAGACTTTGACTTTTTGCTTGAAAGAGAGTCAGTGCTGAGTTGGCTGTTAATGTTTTTTTTATTGGACTGCTGGTAAATTGACTTTTGTTGTAAAATAGCAGTACATTGAAGGAAGGTAATGATACACTTGGAAGTAACTCTAGTTTATCCAGGCAAGAAGTCAGATATGGGAGGTTTTGTTTGTTTATGTTTATTTGATTTATATACCGCCCTACTCCCGAAGGACTCAGGCGGTGAACAGCCACAGGATAAAAACACATAAATACAAAATTTAAAACTGAATAAAATCGAATTAAACAATTTGGCCGAAGATAGATTTAAAACACCCCAATAAATTAAGAACGAATTAAAATTTGCGCTTTAAAAAGGGGAAAAAGGGAAAAATTAGGCCAGGCCAACCTGATGGAATAAAAAGGTCTTTGATAGCGTGGCGGAAGATGCGTAGATCCGGGATCCTCTGTATCTCGGGGGAAGCTCGTTCCAGATGACGGGTGCCCCCACAGAGAAGGCTCTCCCCCTGGGGGCCGCCAGTCGACACTTTTTGACTGACAGCACCCTAAGAAGCCCCTCTATGGGAGCGTACTGGTCAGTGAGAGGCTACTGGTGGCAGAAGGCGGTCTCGTAGATACCCCGGTCCTAGGCCATGGAGCGCTTTAAAGGTGGTAACCAAAACCTTGAAGTGCACCCGGAAGACCACCAGAAGCCAGTGCAGGTCGCGCAGGAGGGGGGGTCACATGGGAGCGCCACGTCGCTCCCATAACTACCCGCGCAGCCGCATTCTGGACCAGCTGCAGCCTCCGGGTGCTCCTCAAGGGGAGCCCCATGTAGAGAGCATTGCAGTAGTCCAGGCGGGAAGTGACGAGGGCATGAGTGACTGTATTTAACGAGTCCCGATCCAGAAAGGGATCTGGCGAATCAGGCGAACCTGATGAAAAAACCTCCCGGTCACGGCCGTCACATGCTCTTCTAAAGACAGCCGTGAATCCAGGAGGACGCCCAAGTTGCGAGCCCTCTCCATGGGGGCCAGCGATTCGCCCCCAATAGTCAGTGATGGCACCAACTGACTATATCGGGACGTTGGAAACCACAGCTACTCGGTCTTGGATGGGTTGAGCCTGAGCCTGTTTCTCCCCATCCAGATCCGCACGGCCTCCAGGCACCGGGACATCACTTCAAGGGCATCGTTGGGGTGGTCCTAACTCTTCCAACCGGTGCAGCATGATACCATGGTTGATGGTATCAAAAGCCGCTGAGAGATCTAATAGGACCAGGACAGAGGAGCAACCTCTGTCCCGAGCCCTCCAGAGAACATCAACCAATGCGACCGATGCCGTTTCCGTGCTGTACCCAGGCCTGAAGCCCGACTGGAATGGATCCAGTTATGCCGTTTCATCCAGGTGTTGGGGGAGATGTTGCGCAACCACACTCTCAACAACCTTCGCCACAAAGCGAAGGTTGGAGACCGGACGATAATTAGACAACACTGCCGGGTCCAGGGAAGGCTTCTTGAGGAGAGGCCTCACCACTGCCTCTTTCAAGGCGGCGGGGAAGTCACCCTCACTCAATGAAGCATTTATAATCCCCTGGAGCCAGCCACGCGTCACCTCCTGAGAAGCCAGCACTAACCAGGAGGGACACGGGTCCAACAAACATGTGGTCGCGTTCAGTCTACCCAGAATCCTGTCTACGTCGTCAGGAGTCACAGGATCAAACTCATCCCAGATAACATTCTCAAGACCTGCCTCAGTCATCCCCCCTGACACTACCCAGTTGGACTCCATTAAAAATGGAGTCCTGAAGTCTATTTATTGATGTTCCTGTACCCAGCTGGCGGCTTCTGTTGATTCTTCTCTAAGAGCGACAGGCAGGGCCTGAATGGCCTCGTGTTTCATCCTTGCTGCAGCCTGTGGTGTGACTCAGATGGCAGAGCTTCTGCTTGAAGGTTCCCTCATTTGGGATGCTTGTTCCTCCCAGGACTCTCCACATGGCAGCACAAGCACTTAGCTTAGCTATTAACTATTGATTAACTAGCTATTCCTCCTCTCCCCACCCAGACATGCAGCTGATTCAGTATCGGGGGAACCCTTTGCTTTCACTGTTGGAAGAACCGCCTTCCAGTGAGGAAGACGGCCGCCTGGGGAACACCGGAGGGGATCCGCTGGGTTCCATGGAGAGCAACAAAGCAGTGCAGCAAGTCACCAGCCCAGGAAGCCAAACAGCTGGAGCCGCTCCACTAGAGCCCCTGGATCAGCCCCTTCTCTCAGAAGACATGAACGGCGAATATAAACTCTTTCCTCTTCTGCTTCTCAGCCCAGTTGCAAATTTCATAGAGGAGGCCTCAGAAATAGAAACAAGTTGAACTGCTGATCACATCTTTTCTGTGGAAAAAGATTCAAGAACCATGGCAGGTCGCAGTTCTGCTTTTCTTACTTTTCATAGCTGAATTTCCTCCACAAACAAGGGAAAGCTATTTTTACCCCAAGAATGTAGTGTTAGGAAGGCAGCTACAAGGCTGAAGTTCCAAATTGCACTGATTTTTTTTTTTAAACAAAAGCAAAAAATAGCAAATTTCAAACCTGCTTTTGAACTATTTTATACACAAATGTTTTAAATAAGATTAATGTTTATATCTTAGTGTAAGATTTGCATAGGGGTTTCAGGTGTTTGATCCCATGATAGTCAATACTATCATAATACATTTATTTTTCTTTCTGAACTGTTGTGTTGGAGATAAGCAAGTATGTTAGAATTATGTTGGGTTTTTTTGTAACTGTAATCTTTGTTTGCTCCAAACTTTTGCCTTAGTTCTTACTACTCTGACTTTGTCTTCATCTATGTCACCTTTTATGTATTATTTACTTTTACGTTCTTCCTCTAATTATTATTGTAAGTAACTTCTGTTTCCTATGGCAAACAATATATTTTAACATTTATTTTAAAATAATGGTAGTATGTGAACCTGCTGCATATTTAGATACTTTGCAAAAAGCTTGTTTCTGATGCACATTGCATGTCAAACCTTCTTTTCCTAAAATGACTTTCCCAACAGTAAATAATGGGATTATCCAAGAAGAATCATCAAAGCCATCTTGGCTCTTTAAGTCAACATTTTCTTGCATAGGCCTGAACACCTGAGGGTGTGGATAACCGGCAGCTGCACTTCTGAGGCTTGGGACCTGATGCTCATGGGATTTGTTGGTTCCAACGATTTTCACCCAGACTGCAGATTCCCCTTTGCCCCTTGTCTTCAAAAGCAGAATTATGAGGCCTTTTGGCATGTTGAGATACATAGAAAGATAAGATAGTTTCTGGATGGGCAAGACATCTCCTGAATGTTTTTGGCCCTTTGCCCATAAACAAAATATGTTGGCCAAATACAACAGTCATCCCTGCAAGTGCCATGAGTGCCAGCCCTTTTAATTCCACGTCATCCATGATGCAGAGCTATGGGGATCGGAGCCATTTCCACCTTAGCTCTCCTGTAAATGGTGTAATGGTAACATCACATACTTGCCTTCAAAATGAGGGCTTCCTTTTAAAAATAACTTGTTTGTCTGAAAAATTGACTTGGGGCTTTTGCCTCTTGATTTCATGGATACAGATAATCCTCAATTTATGACTGGTTGCTTAGATTGAAGTTATGACGGACCACTCCAAAAGGTTCTTTTTAATATATTTGAATATTAATATTTTGTTCAAAAAAGGTTCTTACGGACTGGTTCCAAAGTTCTGATAGCCAACACGCACACACACAGGCACACACATACATACAGGCATGTCACATGACTGCATTTTGATGCTTGGCAACTGGGTTATGTTTACAGTCATTTGCAGCGTCCCACAGTCACATGACCAGTTTATAACAAAATCAGGCACGTCTGCTTTTTGGCAAAAACATCCCATAGCAAACTGAGTTTGGTTAAGACTGCTGCCAAATGTCGTAAAATCAGCTTGGTCATGTGATACATTATGACTGTCACAACATATGACTGTAATAGGCAAGCTCCATTACAGTCATAATTTGAGGACTAGCTGTAATGAAAAACTGCACAGTGTTTTGGTACTTTGTTTCAAAAGTGAAAATTTGAAAGTGAATTATAATAAAGACTAAACATTTCACTGGTTTTGAACTGTCTGCTCCAAGCCCAGGAGCACTACCCTGAGTTTCTCTGCCAGGTTTTGTAAACTTCCCATCACCATGGCTGCAATACATAAGCAAGAAGAAGTGATTTATTAATTAAACCCCAATTTTATTGGACCAGGAGATCTGAGTTTGCTCGCTCAGATGCCCAGCTCCCCGCGTTCTTGATGGTATGAGCTGGATGATGAGTGAAGTTGAAAATATGAGTGATTGATATCAACTCAGTCTGTTTAAGATAAGGCTGCACCAATGGAAGCTGAGCAGAGGCTCTCCGGGTCATGGATGTTACCAGTACGTCTGGCAGGAGCTGTGAATGTAGAAGAACCATTAGGTTGCAGGCCTACGGTCTGGGCAAGCATAACCTCCATGGAGGATAGAATCGACGTAGGCCTCTGCATTGGTAGTCCCTCTGTCTTGTTCTGGAGAAGACGTCGTGTTTCTCCCAACCAAGCCCTGATAGTCTTCAGGTAAGATGTTCTCATACATTTCTTACAGGACCTCAGATAGTGGTGTGCAACTGGCTATCATCTGCTTATTGTCCTACCTTACCCTGAATTGATACATGATCTGTCCCAGCAGCCTCATGTAATACTAAATAGGATTAAACAGAAAAGACCAAACCATGGGCATCCCATAGCAGATTTGCTCAGGGTCCAAATGTTCTCCCTCTCCCTACTCACGGGATTTATTTATTTCTTAGATTTCTATCCATTAAGAAAAATGGATAGAAGGATCTATCCATTAAGAAAAAGAACCACCATAACATTGTAGATGGTCCACAAGGATACTAGGATTGAGAAGAATGGTCATACTCCCAGGTCTTGCCACAAGTGGACATGAGAATAGCTGATAGAGTTTCTGTCCCAGGCCGGATCCTAAATCCCACGACCACAGATGCAGATCATCCATGTTCTAGAGGACCCTTTGTGATTGCAAGAGTGATAGAATGGGAAACAAGAATGACGCTCATTGTGGGCAAATGGGAAGTTGTACACTTGGGTAACAACTTTTGGATGCAGGGTACCTGTTTTGCCAGTGGTGCACATGCAATGTTGGGATTCCCATCAGTCATGAGCCGAACGTGAGTCAGCTGTATTGCGCCATTGCTAATGAGCGGACATGGAATAGTTGAGAAAGACTTAAATTCTGCTAAGGTTACACCCTTTCCTGCAGTGTTGATTGAGTTTCAAAAGATGACTCACAGTTAGCATTCAATTGATTGATTACATTTTTATTACCTTATAAGTAACTCAAGGATGAACATACCTAATATTCTTTCCTCCTCCTATTTTCACCATAGCAACCCTGGTAGGTTGGGCTGGGAGAGGGACTGGTTCAAAATCAACCAGACAGCTTTCATTCCTGAGGCAGGACTAGAACTCGCCATCTTCTGGTGATTGGCACAAAGTCGCCCAGTCAGCTTTGTGTAGATATTGTTTAAATATTTAAAAACCTCTCTTTTTAATGGACTCCTACAGCTTGAAGATGACTACAGATGTTTAGGCCACAGAATAAAATAATTGGAAAACCAACTTTAAATTAAATACCAACATTTTTTTTTAAAGTTGGGCAGGTGCAAAATAAGAGGCTTCAGTGCCTCCCTTGTTTTGATTCACCTTGTTCTAGAGCTGCTCCTTATAGGATGGAAGCATCTCTGTGCATTAAAAGGTTGGTTATTTCATAGCAAGGTTGGATGCTCTGAGTCCCTAAGAGGTCTGGGCAGAGACAACTATGTTGGTAGAGAAAGTAGAGATGGGATCGACACAATGAGTGTCTAGTCTGATGTTTAAACCTCTTGATGGTTTTGAAAACTGGAAAAATACAACTATTATAGCAGCAGCAATAATAATAGTAATGGTAATGCATAGATTAGATTGGTCCACCCCCATCGACTAGTGGACTCAGATGGGTTCCAGAAGGAACTGGGTATTATAACTGCAGATCTGTTGTGCAGTCCAGCCGAGCTCTTAGTCACTGTTGGGAATAGAAAGGTGACTCAGGCTCTGCATAGGACTGCGCTCATGCGACCTCTCCTCACCCATAGACCTCTCTGTCCTCCATGGTATACAGAGGAGCTGAGAGGGATGAAACAGATGAAGAGACGTGTAGAGCGCCGCTGGTGGAAGACAAGGGATGAACTCAACCAGGTAAGAGCTGCTATTAAGGCCTACCTTGTGGGGATTCATGTGGCGAAGTGTAAATACTTCTGTGCACTAATTTCATCTTTGGATAACCGACCAGCGACCCTCTTTAAGGTGAGCCACCTCCTCCTGGGGAAGGAGGAGACTGAGGTCCATCTGAAGGGGCGTGCTGAGGTATTAGCCGATTTTCTGGAAGACAAAATCACTCGACTTCGTTCCCAATTAGATGCTGCCATGGTTGCTGGTCTGGTGGAGGCCTCTGAGGCAGGTTCTTGCCCTGTTATCTGGGAACAGTTTGATCCTGTCGCTCCCAAGGAAGTGGACAGGATCCTAGGGAGTATGCACACAAGCACCTGTGTTTTAGACCCATGTCCCTCCTGGCTTGTGAAAGCTTCCCAGGAAGTGACAGGTGGGTGGACTCTGGTGGTGATCATTGCTTCCCTACAGGAGGGGGTAGTGCCCCAGCACTTTCAGTAGGCTGCAGTCTGCCCTCTTCTCAAGAAGCCATTGCTGGATTCCACCCTGTTGGATAATTTCTAACCTGTCTCCAATCTTCTCTTCCTGGGGAAGGTGGTTGAGAAGGTGGTTGCGCAGCAGCTCCAGAGTTTTCTGGATGAAACGGATTATCCTACCAGTCAGCATTCAGGCCTGGAAATGGGAGAGAAACAGAAAATTTTCTGTCAGAAAATCCTTTATCCGCAAACAAATCCTCTGATTTATACCCAAATTGGACATTTTAAGAAACAACCTGTTGGGTAGAATTGTTCCTGGACCAACAATCCCTACTCACAGTCACTCATGCTCTAGTCACCTCCCGTCTTGACTACTGCAACACACTCTACATGGGGCTGCCCCTGAAAAGGATCTGGAAGCTCCAGTTCGTGCAAAATGCAGCAGCCTGCACGGTTTTGTGCAGACTTCAGTGTGCACATGTATTACCTGTGGGAACTGCATTGTTTGCCGATTTGCTTCTGATTGCAATTCAAGGCACTGGTTGTCACCCTTAAAGCCCTTCATGGCTTGGGACCAGGTTATCTGAGGGCTCTTTCTTGTCGGTCACATCTATCCAATCCACTAGAGCGGGGAGGCAAGGTATATTGTGGGCCCCTCCCCTAAGGAGATACATTTGGCGGGACCCAGAAGAAGGGCCTTCTCCGTGGTGGTTCCCTCTCTCTGGAACATCATCCCCACGGAGTTTAGACTGGTTTCCACATTGACAGTCTTTTGGAAGGCCCTGAAGATGTGGTTCTGCCAGTGAGCCTGGGAAACCCAGAGCGGAGTGGAGCCCATTAAATGGCTAGTGTGAATGTGTGTTCTTTTTATTTCTTTTATAAGGTGTTTTTTACATCCTTATAAGCCACCTTGAGTTACCATATGCGAGTATGACCATCACGGATCCGCTGTTAGACCCCTTGCAATTTGCATACCGAGCAAATAGATTGACAGATGATGCTGTTAATATGGCTCTGCACTACATCCTACAACATCTTGAATCTCCAAAGACCTACGCAAGGGTCCTCTTTGTAGACTTGAGTTCAGCATTAATACCATCATTCCAGGCACACTTCTAACTAAGCTAAACCAGCTACAGGTATCTGAACACACTTGCAAGTGGATCATAAGCTTCCTAACAAACAGGAAGCAGCAGGTGAAGCTAAGCAGAATCACATCAGATACCTGTACAATTAGCACAGGGGCCCCCCAAGGCTGTGTGCTCTCCCCACTTCTCTCTGTATACCTATGACTGCATCACTAACAATCCATCTGTTAAACTACTGAAGTTTGCAGATGACACAACAGTGATCAGTCTCATTCGAGACAATGATGACTGCATACAGATGGGAGGTTGAACAACTAGCCTCGTGGTGCGACTGGAACAACCTGTAACTGAACACACTCAAAACCGTAGAAATGGTGGTAGACTTTAGGAGAAACCCTTCCATACTTCTACCTCTCACAATACTAGACAACCTGGTATCAACAATAGAGACTTTCAAATTTCTAGGTTCTACCATATTGCAAGATCTAAAATGGACAGCTAACATCAAAAACGTCATCAAAAAAGCACAACAAAGAATGTTCTTTCTGCACTAACTCAGAAAGCTCAAACTGTCCAAGGAGCTGCTGATCCAGTTCTACAGAGGAATCATTGTGTCTGTCATCTGCACCTCTATAACTGTCTGGTTTGGCTCTGCAACCTAACAAGACAGACACAGACTTCAGAGGATAATTAGAACTGCAGAAAAAACAATTCCTACCAATTTGCCTTCCATTGAGGACCTTTATACTGCACGAGTCAAAAAGAGGGCTGTGAAAATATCTACAGACCCCTCGCATCCTTGACATAAACTGTTTTGACTCCTACCCTCAAAACGACGCTATAGAGCACTGCACACCAGAACTAGACACAAGAACAGTTTTTTCCCGAATGCAGAGGGGTTGTTCCTCTGTCCTGGTCCTATTAGACCTCTCAGCGGCCTTTGATACCATCAACCATGGTGTCAGGTTTCGTTGCTATCTTAAATAAACTAAATAAAATAAACACATGGTATCATGCTGCACCGGCTGGAAGAGTTAGGGGTGAGGGGCACCGTGTTGCAGTGGTTCTCCTTTCTCTCCGACCAGTCGCAGTCTGTTGGCAGGGGGGCAGAGGTCGACCCCGAGGCGCCTCAAATGTGGGGTGCCACAAGGGTCGGTCCTCTCGCCCCTTTTCTTCAACATTTATGTGAAGCCGCTGAGTGAGATCATCCATGGTTTCGGGGTGAAGTACCACCAGTACACTGATGACACTCAGCTGTACATCTCCACCCTGGACCACCCCAATGATGCCCTTGA